TTCTCAAACAGGCTACCTGGGCTGAGTAATGGATGTACCCCTTAGTACTCAGTCTATTCCTACTGGATGGCTAATTCCAGAACACAGTGCTGTTGGCTCATTGCTTTGCCTCTCTCCAGTGTCTGCATGAAACTATAAAGAGATGTTTTGTTGCCTATTTTTATTTAATGGGCTGGCGGTAGGAAGGATGAAAAGACTGCTGATGTTCAAATCCATATAGCATTTGGCAAGATGGTAAGCAAAGCAATACATGAAGGAGGTTTTTCTTACGATTGCATTATTTTTCTCAACAATTTAATGTTGCTTTTGGCAAAAGGTGTAGGAAAATACAGTTTAATTATGATTATAGAAAGATGTCCACCCATTAATGCATTTAGCCTTAGAAATACAACAGGGTTTGAAATAGCCTAAGGCAGTGGGTGAGTGATGAAACTTTTGATGATTTCCTCTTTCTCTTTATTGTAGATTATGGTAATGTTGTTCTTTTAATATATGATAAAAATCAGTCAAACAGTAGAAATAATATACTAATTTAAAATAATTTCTCAAAGTATTAGTAGTAAGTAGCTGAATCAATCAGATGCCACTTCTTTCAGCCATATCCACTAAGGCCACTAGATTGGAAGGAGATACCATAATTCTTTCCAGTAAATTTGCCAGCTAATTGTCAGTATAAATGTCATCTGAATTCAGCTCCCTGCCCCTTGTACTTCAAGAAATGCCTTCTAAATAAGAATCTGAGGTTGAAATCTTGACCATCTGGGGTCCAGCAGCATGTTATTGCTCCCAATTTATAGGGATTGTTGTTTGAAGGTTTTTCAGATTAAGAGGCCTCAGGCTTAATGAAGGTTAGTGTCTAACTGAGTTTTCTTGATACTAACAAGCAACAGTACTGTAAGTGTTATACTTTCAAAGTCCTGACTTTGCCTTGATTAATAGATAAGAGTTGAAATGTGGCTAGTACTCTGATGGATGACCACAGGGCTTCATATCAGATTATCACAATTAAACTCTTCCCAAACTGGCCTAAGAAATTTAGCATAGCAGATTTATTGCAGAAAA